TGACACCTTCGCAAGAATCAAACCCACCATTTTTGCAACCCGGCAACAAATGAAATGGTTAGACACAAACCTGCACCGTGGTCCAACAACGAGGTGCATCCATCGGCTTACCATCACCTCATGCTGTGTCACACACAAATGACATCGTGAGACTTGAGCCACGTTGCTATAACAACAGCACCCATACTGAACATACATGATGTAAAAGAAGATGCTGTCCATCCACTCCTAAGGTGCACTGTCAGAAACAACTTTGAGCACAGAGCAATTCAACATATTTAACAAAAGATGATTTCCAGCCTCCGTGTACAGTCAGAGGCTGTTTATTGCCTGTTGTGCCTCAGTGCATTGTCACAGCGTTTAACAAAAAAAAAGGGCTTACAGAACTGAAGCTCTCACAAGCTGCAAACAATCAACCGTCCCACTGGAGGCACAAAACCATCAAACAAAGCTAGCTCAACAGCCAGCTAGCCGAGAGCCTCTTTCTCACTCAAAGGCCTCCCACGCTCTTGTTGACCACCACAGAAACGACTTGCCTCCACCCAACCCAACCACTCACTCACTAGATGAGATGTTCTATATAGATTTAGCGTTAAAATGTTTTGCTCACAAAGGCCTACCTTTTGATGGCTCTGTGCGCTTAGGCAGATCCAATGTGTCGTAGCTTTTGTCATTCTCACCGTTTTTTCTGCCTGGAGGAGAGGAAGGAAACGAGGACGTCAGTGTCAGACAACTGGATGTTGAAAAGAGACCCCAGGGTTATGCTGAGGATGATGTCAAAATCTTTGAACCGTAGGGGCGGAAAATGCATCTCAAACAACAAATAACGCACAAGTGTTTAAATGTACACACAGTACAGAGATGTACAAACACTCCCTGCAAGCTAAACTGCTTCCCTTCAGGAAATAATTTACATCAGTCGTCTAAATCCAGGTTTGTTTTGAACAAATCAAGTTAGTGTTGTCTCCTCCAAACAGTTATATATGATTTATTTAAAGAAAAGTTTATAAATATATTCTAAATGTAAGTCAATGGAAAATTTTATTTCTATATTTCAAGCTTGGCCCTTTATAAAGTGTTTCAAATTTCATAAGTCAAGAAAAAGTGACATCATGGCTTCATCCAAGCGTGAAAGGTCACATGACTTTTACTACACATGGAAAAAGCTCGGCCAGCTTTGACTCCAGTGAAATGTAAATGCAGTTGTCACGCGGTCTGTGTGTGACTCTGCATGCTCCTCGCACACAGGCTAAGAGAGAGATGTCTGCAGGATTGCAAACAGTGAAAATGCTCGATTTGTATGAAAAAATGACATGAAGCCAGGCGTCAGAGTCACAGAAACCCATGTCTGAATGAGGCTTTAGTGTTGCAAAACAAGATGCTGGTAAGATGGGGAGCTAGTAGCCATGGTGTCCCTCGCTGCCACCACAGCAAACAAAGAAGCAGCACTGCTGTCTGAAAGCATCAAAAAAAAGTCTGCAAGGCCCAAAAAGCCCAAACATTCAAATCCGTAAAGAATCATTTACCTCTATATTTTTTGCACACTTAAATGTTCCAAATAATAGAAAACTGTAGCGGCAGCTTTAATCAAGTATGTTTCAGCTTTAATTATTGACATCCTCAGAAGTTTCAAATCACATACGATCAAACAAATGCATAAAAAAACTCAGTGTGCAGCAGAGCTTGACATTTACACTTAAGTGTACTAGAAAGGGGTGAAGAGCTCCAGTTGGATACTGTTAGCGGCGTTCTTCAAAGCTGTCAGGATTCATTTTATCTGGAGTCTAAAAGAATTCACCAAAGTTCAATTTGGGGATAGATGTGCAAATTTCCCTTTCAGCATCTCTGGTTCACTGGATTAGTCAAGCTCCACTTAAGAACACTACAAAGACAGATTTGTTGTTGACTTACCGGTTTTAGCACTCGTTTTACCTTTCACCTTTCTCAGAGGACTGACAGAAAACCCAACCAACTAATTCTAACAAACGGAGGAGTTTGGGACAGGTGGAAGTCTATAATGCTCAGAGCTACGGTCGGTAGGTATGGTAAGGGAATGTGTGTGGAATGAATGAAATCCCCGATTTTCTTAAGTCCTTGGAACTTTCTCAGGTTTCTGGAGGACACCCAAAACTACTTCTAACTATATTCTACAGCCAGGGGGAAAGAACGAGGAGGTGGGGGTGGAGGAGGAGGAAGAGGTGGGGGAAGGCAGGGGGAGGATGGAGACGAGGAGAGAGCTAAAATGAGAAAGGTTGAAGAGGGGGGCACTCACCTTGATTAAACCATTCCTCTATAGTTAGCCAAGGAAGCAGCAGCAATGCCAAAAAACAAAGCGGGGAGAAGAGAGAAGAGCCATGGTGAAATAGGAGTGTGCTGTGTGTGTGTGTCACGAGGCTGTGTAATACATGAGAACAGTTTTTATCAGAAAAAGGAGTCATCTGTTACTGAATAGGAAACGTGAAAGAGTAAAGAAAACTGAAAAATAGGCTAAATAAAGAGAGAAAGACTAAAGAAAGGAAACGGTGCTTTGTATAGATAGCAAGCCATTAGCAGTTCATAGATGGTCTCTGGGACCCATGGGGATAGATTTTAAGGTGTAAAGTAAAAGACAGAGAAAAGTGTCAGATATAAAGAAAAATGAGAAAGGAGTTTTTAGATAAGTTAGCAAGCAAGAAAGAGAGGAAAAAAAAAAAAAAAAAGGAAAAGGCTTTAAAAAACATTAAGTATCAGCTTTAAGAAGGCAGGTGAAATACACATAAAACAGCAGAGACTGCAGCAGCATTTGCGGTGCTAAATTAAAATCACTGCGTGGGAGAAAAGCACTCAAAGAGATTGAAGTAAGAGCCAACAATCAGGCTGTCTATTAGCCAAAACAAAGCACGAGTGCGTGCTGATTATCATGTCATATTTTAAAACAAATGCAACACTAAACGGAAGAAGAGGCCAAACTTACTGCTGCACAGTCTGAAGGCTGTACAGCAGCTGAACGCGTCCCATCATTCACTTCTGCACGTCGGAAAGCATCCGAGCGGTTAACTGGCTTCTTTATTAATCTCTGTACACGTTAAGCATTGTGTTGTCCTGAACCCTAAACTAATGTGGTTCTCCAAAGAGCCATTAGAAGTCAGGGGTCACTGGCTGGTAGTCACATCTCATTGGCTGACTGATTAATGGCGGCCATTACTGTTGTACAGCTGGGCGATAACGGCATCGTTTAGATAACAGTCACAGGAGAACGCTGATTAAGACCTCTGAAGCAACGCATGCATTAAGAGCTGTTGTGTCGCTGAGTAACTCCTTTATTTGCACACGTTTGTACTGAGAGTTAGATCATCCATGCATCTGGTTACATTTTGGTTACAGTGTTTTCATCTCCTCTGTCCCTCTCACCTTTGGCCTTCTTGCCTCCGAAGCAGCCAGCATCATCTTTCTTCTTCCTTTGCGGTCCCGCTGAACCAGGGGCTTGTAGCGCCAACGGGTCCTGGTACTTTTCGGCCCCCGGCACCTCTTTGTGTACGTGGTAGGACAGATTCCTCATAATACAAACACAATTCTCCACAGACTGTGAAACAAAGACAGGAAAAAAACCTGCTGTTAGACTGAGCTCATTCTGAATCCATGATAATGGATGACCCGGATGTTGTCTCACCTTGTTGTCCATGTCCTTCTTCCCTACAGCTGACTGAAGAGCGTGCAGCAAAGCATCCACCAATCCCTCACATTCCCTCAGTCTGCGCCGAGCCTCTGCCCCGTCTGAGCTCACATTTCTACAGAAACAAAGTAACACACATCAAGCTTAGGAGGCGTGCATAGACCAAGATTTGCCTGAAGAACTGAACGAAAATTTGACCAATAGGGTTTTTTTTAATAGTTTGCGCTATAAGTAATTATAAAATTATCCATTTCAAAATATGACCCGTCTCCAGAATCCCATCTCATTGACTCTGGCTGGCATCCAGAGTGAAATACCAATAAAGCAGTAAGGATACTAAATCACAGGACAATTATCCACTGAGAGCCTGCTCTAATTATAAACAGTACTCCTATAACTATTTATACTTTCACAAAAATTAGGAAAGGGAAGAGGAAAAGCACCGAAGGCAGTGAAAGTGTTTTTAATAGTCCCAAAAGAAGTGAATATAACAAGCATACAGAGAGGATGACAATTACAGCCAGATGTCTTACTGTTCAATAAAAGTGCCATGTAAACCCATATCAGTCTTCTCCAGCCGTGTGATTTTTAGAGTTTCCATGCGACCCACGGCCTCCATCCTCTCTGTCTGCCTCAGATGTACAATGCAATAAAGCTAGACAGCTTTAGGAATAATCTTTTAAAAAATTATTAACATAAATTTCTTTTTTTTGGTGGGGGGGGGCATCACCCAGCGCCTTGAGCACAGCTCCTACAAGCACGGCTGCAGAGCTGGTGCAGTCTTCGTGTGCCTGTCTGACTGTGAAAGGGAAAGGATTTAAAGAGGGTTAAGGGATAGCAGGGACTCCCCCAGCTCCTCACCGGGGACTTCATTTATGAGGGCTTCCAACTCACATAATCCCATTAGCTGACCCCCAGTTAGGCCCTTGGAAGAGTGGCAGCATTGCCGAGGTAAGCAGAACTGCGCCTCTTTTTTGTGCCGTGGGCACTGAAACATGTATGAGGTCTACCGCTGCTACAGTGCTGAACGGTTCACTTTAAACTGCAAACACAGTCGAGCCATTTGGGGTTTCTGCTTTTTTCTCTCTTGTATTTTGTTAATCATTTACCTGCGTTCAACGAATTTAGTGCACTCAGGTCTCCGTGTAGTCTAGTGCTCCCCTTAGCTGGCAGTTATGGTCTTTGTCTGTCTACCCAGACTCCTTCTTGCCTTGTTTTATGTTTCTTCCATCAGTCTCTGCAATGTGCTGCAACTAGGGCTGCACGATTTTGCATAAAATGAGAATCACGATTTTTTG